ATATATACTAGTGAATACTTTTTCACAAAGACCACCTGTCCGACACTTTTCTTGATACTCTTGGAATATTTCCCACTGACACAAGCATTAAGAATCCTGCTGCCTATAGTGACCAACTGTTCAGACAGTGATATTTTAAATGAAATTTCTTTGAGTGGTTCTACCACCAGGTTCGACTCAACTTGGTGTAAAGGAGTCCCAGTCTGTTGTACCCTTCGTACATCTAACAGGTGAATTGTTATACCGAGTGATAATTACAAAATAATGCGGCATACTTTCAAATGGCTTTTGACATGATCGTTTATCAACCGCTCGTTAATTGACACTTTGAGTTACTTCTGCCAGCCAAGCTTGAAATTACATGCCTGTTTCTTCCCCACAGGGAAATCCGCACATCAGCGGTAAATTTCCTCAGTCCTTGACCCTTTTATTGTAGCCAATATATGTCAGCCATGCTTGTGTAAGTCTACTTTAACGAGGGTACTCATCTAGCCAATATCTGCAGAGTTTTATCTTCGTCTACAGCCTACGCTCTAGGTAGGGCTCATTTTAAGAGCCAAACTCCAAAAATATACTTACGGTCGTACATTTTATTAACGAAGGCACTCCTCCAGCCAATATCTGCATAGTTGTATCTTTGCCAAAGCTCTGCTTTCTATAGTCTAATCCAGTGCGGGAAATTGAATGGAGCCGTTCCCTGTGCTTTTAAGTGAGAGAAGCAGCTGACAACATATACGAGTACTGTCGTACATTTTAACAAGAGCACTCCACCAGCCAATATGTTCGTCAACTCTCTCTCGATCTAGACAGACTGTGTCATGATCAGTTCAGTAACTTCAACAGAGCCGTTCTCTTTGCTTTTAAGTGAATGAAACTGTTATACATTTTATCAAGGGTACTCCCCCCAGACAATATTTTCATAATCTACATATCTCCCTCCAGACAGACTACATCGGTGCGTAACTTCGACAGAGCCATTTTCTGTGCTTTAAAGTGATCGAAACTGTCAACGTTTACTGTCATACATTTTCACGAAACCATTTTCCAGCCGATATCTTTAATTTGTCAAAAGCATGCCCGTTTCTAGACAGAGTGCATCCGTGCGGTAAGGCGATGTTAATTTGATTATATGGATGACATACGATGGAAACTCCAAAACTGATGCAAGCGTACGAATAAAAAAAGTTTGGCAAAAAAATTGCCTTCATTATGAAATGTAGGTGGTCATGAAGGTTGAACAAATGACTAAACACACAGAGTACTATTTAAATGGTATGGTATATAATAGACTCTTCATTTTCATTCCTTCACATTTTCTTCTTGTCCTTTGGAATGGATTTTGGCATTCTGCGGCATAAGTATCGTTTCATATTTTTTCTCAATTTTGCACGATTTACAGTATGGTCGAAAACTTTTTGTTTTATTTGAAACGGACGAAAATTCGTGCGCGTGTGGATGTCATCCACATAATCAAATCAACATGGCCTAACTCGAACAGAGCCGTTCTCAGTGGATTAGTGCAGACCGTACACCTGCCATTACTCACCGGGGTGTCTCCCTGTCAGGGCGGCTTTACACGGGCGGATATGTCCCCGCCTGGAGTGTGTTTTGGCAGGAGTTGTAGAGATGTAACATAAATCCTCCCGATTACTCACCAAGGTTTGCTTATAGTGGGATTCAAAACTGTGTTTGTAGCTGTTTTGTAGGACAAGCTTGAGTCCGTGGCAGTATTTCATTGTAGAGAAAAGCTAAAATGAAACAGTCCTTTTTTCCAACATTTGCTTTCGTGTTGGAATTCGCCGCAAAGATTTCTCATTTTCCTCCTAATTCTACACTCACGTCCTCATCGCGTAATTATTTTCTCAAGGACAAAATTAGATTGAAAGGCGCCACTAAAATAACGTTTACTCCATGAGGAGAGATATCCATAAGCGCCTTACAGAATTCAGCTTAGGCCACACCGATTTAATTTTATGGATGACATCCGCGCGCGCATTGATTTTCGCCCGATCTCAAAAAAAAAAAAAGATCACGTATTCCGAGGCTCTGGCCTGGCTTTAGGCCTGGGTAGTGCATGGTGGTGATAACTCTGGTTGACGGCAGCCAGGCTACCGAAGCTCCAAGACTCAAGAACTCAGTACATACGTACAGCAGTGTCGATTCATATATTCCGCAAAAATCCAGCATGTGTCGGCCTGTCGTATACGTCGCTATGTAATGCGCCAAATTCACAATACCAGGTTTGTATTCCTGTGGTTTTGTAGCATTTTTA